TTCCTTCCTTCCTTCCTTCCTTCCTTCTTTCTTTCTTAGAGAACCGAGGTGGCCCAGTGGTTAGTACTGCAGGCCACTTCAGCTGACGGTTATCTGCAGGTTATCGGTTCAAATCACACCGGCTCAGGGTTGACTCAGCCTTTCATCCTTCCGAGGTGGGTGAAATGAGGACCCAGACTGTGGGGGGCGATATGCTGACTCTGTAAACTGCTTAGAGAGGGCTGAAAGCCCTATGAAGGGGTATATAAGTCTAACTGCTATTGCTATTGCTAAATCATTGTTGTTTTTAATGTAAGGCAACGCAGTTGTTAAGTGAATCTGCTTTCCCTGCTGACCACTCCCAAATTATGGACAACTGGGTTGAAACAATATCCTTCTAATGGGAGAAAGCCTTCTAACATAACAGGGTAACCCTTTCCCTTTGGTTAAATATAGCTTGCAACCAGAACAAACAAAACCTAAAACTAAATACAGTTGAACTGCCACGTCAGTTTGAATGGGTAAGGTATTTTTAGTCAAACTGGACATGCCTCTTCCCCAAATCAGAAATAATCAGGGTTGGCCCATTATATACCTGTGCTGGCCACAGTCGTTTTTTCCACTTGCAAAAGACATATTCTCCTTCACTCATCATCTTGATGGATGTCAGCTGGGGATCCAGGTTAAAGGCTTGCTAGCAGAGACATCCTAGGTTACAGTAACAAAGTAAATCATTGCACTGGTAGCCCTCGACTTACAACAGTTCATTTAGTGACAATGGCACTGAAAAAAGTGAAGACAATTTTTCACATTTACGACCGTTGCAACATTCCTGTGGGCACATGATCAAAATTCAGATGCTTGGCAACTGACTCATATTTATGACGGTTGCAATGTCGCAGAGTCGTGTGATCACCTTTTCAGAAGCAAGGTCAATGGGGAAGCCAGATTCACTTAGCAACTGTGTTACTAACTTAACAACTGCAGTGATTCACTTAACAACTGTGGCAAGAAAAATCATAATAGAGAGAGCAAAAGTCACTTAACAACTGTCATAATTAGCCACATAATTTTTTGGCTCAACTGTACTCCATTCCATAAAATATTTATCACTGGTAGCATCAACAATAATTTTTATTCTATGCTTTCTCTAGATCAACACCAAGGCATTCCACTAATAAAAATATTTATTTGTTCACACTGATATGCCAGAAAATATTTAAAATATTTAGAATCATAGAATCTCAGGGTTGAAAGGTTCCCTGAAGGTCTTCTAGTCCAACCTCCTGCTCAAGGCAGACTTTATATCATTCTGATCAAAAGATTGTCCAGTCTATGCTTGAAAAACTCCAGTGAGGGAACACCCACAACTCCAACAGGAAAGCTGTTCCATTATTTTATTTATTGGTATCCCACCCTTACTATTTCTACAAATAACTGGTGATGGACATAGCCAATAGACCTTCTTCTTTCTATTTTCCTAACAACAGCAATCCTGTCTGTTGGACTGAGAGAGAGAGAAACTGATTGGCCCACTTGCACAGTTGGCTTTCTTAGCTATGGTGAGTTAATTGTTCATTTCTTAAATTTCTCATAGGTTTCAGATTCGATCTTCCTTTAAGGAGTTCCACTCAGTGCTTCTTGTCCTGCCCTCCTAGTGCTTTGAAGAATGGATCAATCCCCTCTTCTCTGTGACAACCCCTCAAGTATTGGATGTCACGTCTAACTCTACTTTTTGATCTGCACCACAGAGAAGCAAAGGAGGTTAGGATGGAATAAAACTCATTGGGCCAAACCCATTAACTGTAATATATTTGGCCAAGTAGCAATGCAGGATCTTTGATCAGATCACTCTATCTCAGTGATGGAGAACCTGTGTTAGCAGCTGCCAAAAAAGCCAACACAGTTCTAAGCTGCATAAACAGAGGGATAGAATCAAGATCACGTGAAGTGTTAATACCACTTTATAAGGCCTTGGTAAGGCCACACTTGGAATACGGCATCCAGTTCTGGTCGCCATGATGTAGAAAAGATGTGGAGACTCTAGAAAGAGTGCAGAGAAGAGCAACAAAGATGATTAAGGGACTGGAGGCTAAAACAGATGAAGAACAGTTGCAGGAACTGGGTATGTCTAGTTTAATGAAAAGAAGGAGCAGGGGAGACATGATAGCAGTCTTCCAATATCTCAGGGGCTGCCACAAAGAAAACAGAGTCAAACTATTCTCCAAGGCACCTGCAGGCAGAACAAGAAGCAATAGGTGGAAACTAATCAAGGAGAGAAGCAACTTAGAACTGAGGAGGAATTTCCTGACAGTTATAACAATTAATCAGTGGAACAGCTTGCCTCCAGAAGTTGTGAATGCCCCAACACTGGAAGTTTTAAAGAAGATGTTGGATAGCTATTTGTCTGAAACGGTATAGGGTTTCCTGCCCAGGCCGGTGGATGGACTAGAAGACCTCCCTTCCAACTCTGCTATTGTATTGTATTGTAACCGTTTAGGCAGAGAGTGCCAAAGCCAAAAGGGACGTTCTGGGGCACCAGAAACTCGATGACCAGCTGGCTGAGTTGGGACGACAGTGCCTGTGCCCACAAAGAGGGCTCCACGTGCCATCTCCTGCATGCGTGCCATAGGTTCACCATCACGGTTCTATGTAAACCAACAGTAGAAACTTACTCCAGCTGCAACTGCCACAGGACCAGCAGAATTCTGCCTACCTAGTCTGACTGCTTTGAAAACCAAGAGGGTTTGATTAAAATTGAGATGCCCAACAGGAACCCCAGGTATTACGCAGAGATGTAACCCTTTTGATATTTTTTTTTAAATCTCGCCTTTGTTATTTTTAGAAATAACAGGGTAGCAAACATACCTAACATTTTTTTCCTCCTAGGAAAAACTAGAAACCTAGGATAAGGAAGAATTGGTATGCTTGCCTTGAGTGATTAAAAATATGCCAGATAAACATCTAAAACAAACTTTCAGAAAGCCAAAATTTCATGCTGGCTAAGTGTACTAATTGATACAAGTGGAAGAGCACCCACCAATTAATGCCACGTATTGTTCTTCCATTTGGAAAGCAGCAAGTGACATCTGGAGTCCTCACCAAGGATTAGATCAGAAACAAATACATGAGGTGGGCAGTTATATAAATCAAATAAATGGGGGGTAGTGACAGATTTTATTTTCCTGGGCTCCAAGATCACTGCAGGTGAGGACTGCAGCTAAGAAATTAGAAGATGCTTGCTCCTGGGGAGGAAAGCTATGGCAAATCTTAGACAGCCTATGAAAAACCAGGGACATCATCACCCTGCCAACAAAAGTGCGTCTAGTCAAGGCTCTGGTTTTCCCAGTTGCAATGGATGGCTGTGGAAGTTGGACCATAAGGAAGGCTGAATGCCAAAGAATGGAGGCCTTTGAACTCTGGTGCTGGAGAAGACTCCTGCGAGTCCTTTGGACTGCAAGGCGATCCAACCATCAATCCTAGAGGAGATCAAACCCTGACTGCTCTTTAGAAGGCCAGATCCTGAAGAGGAAACTCAAAGACTTTGGCCACCTAATGAGAAGGAAGGACTCCCTGGAGAAGAGCCTCATGCTGTGAAAGATTGAGGGCAAAAGAAGAAGGAGGAGACGACAGAGAATGAGGTGGCTGGATGGAGTCACTGAAGCAGTCGGCTTGAGCTTAAATGGACTCCAGAGGATGACAGAGGACAGACAGAAAGGCCTGGAGGAACGTTGTCCATGGGGTCGTGATGGATTGGACACAACTTCACAAATAACAACAATAACAACAACACTAAGTGAAATCACGACCACGACCCTATGATCTGACATCTGCTTTCTTTTGCTGTACCGCCCTGCAAAACTCACAGGGCTGGTGGCACGTTGTCATCCCTGTCGTAACTGCGAACAGCTGCCGTCTGAGGTGGTCACTAAACAAGGACTGCCTGCACTAGTTTCCATGAACTTGGTGAAAGAGCGTTGCAGTGTGAGACCAGGGGGAATGTTATCTGCATTGAACAAATGCTTTGTTATTTTTACATCTAATTCTCCCCATGCTCCCCTCCCACAGCAGGGGAAGTGAAGAGAAAGAAGACCCAGGTGTGTTTCTTCACCTGTCCCAGGTGTATTTCTTCACCTGGGACATTTACAGAGGTGTAGACTTCAACTCCCACAATTCCCCAGGCTGAGAAACACCTGCACTAATGTGTATAGTGGGTGCAGGCTATGGTATCCCTTAACCCAGGGATGGGGGCTCTATGGCCCCTTTAAGGACTTGTGGACTTCAACTCCCAGAATTCCTGAGCCAGCATGGCTGGCTCAGGAATTCTGGGAGTTGAAGTCCACAAGTCCTTAAAGGGGCCATAGATCCTCATCCCTGCCTTAATCACAGGGGCAATCCTCCCATTTTTGCTTCCCCTTCTAAGAAACTACCCAAGTTACTGCGGAAGGCTGGGGAACCTGAAATAAGACAATCCACCCCCGTGGAGTGGAGCAGGAGAGGGAAATAGCCACAGGTTAGCCATATTTAGGAGTGGGGGGGAGGAAGTCTTCTTCCTCTCTATCCATGGAAGCAGTCCCCTTCCCAGGGCAGTCACCGCATCCCTTCTTTTTTTCCCCCTTCCGTCTTTTTCCCCCCCTCAACCACCACATTGGGGAGAGCGGGACTCGAACTTACCACACCCAAAGCTTCGTCCTTCTCCTTCTCGGTCGCATTTGAAAACTGCAACGCATAGCTCCGCCCTTTCCTCATCCGCCCCGCCCCCCCTCCTCCAGACTGTTGAGGCCGACAACTGGGGAGGGGGGGGGACTGGCCACGCCTCCTAGGTCTTTTCTAGCGGAGCCCCGCCTCTTTGAATCTCACTCCGGCTCCCCATTGGGTTCAGGTATCCCGCCCTTTGGCTTTCAGCTCGGGCACTTCCGGATTCTTCCCCCCTTTCCTCATTTGCTACTGGAGTCTCCGCCCGCTCATTAGAGCAAGGGCCAATCGCTTCGAAGGATTGATTTTCCTCTTCTCTTTCCCCCCTCCCTCAAAAGCCCCGATAGCAACTCAGATACAACGCAAGGGGCGGGGCTAGCGGTAGACGCAGCACGTGGCTCATTTAAGGGGACGAAAATGCGCGTTTGGTAACCGAGCGGGACAAGTCAATCCGATCTGAGGGTTGTCCTTCTCCTTCCTTACCACCAATCAGAATGGAAAACGAAATGTCAATCTCGGATTCAATTTTGCCCTCCCTTCGCTTCTCTAACGACCGCAGGCCCTCCCGAGCTTTGCGCGAGACACAGCTCTTTGCGGAGGCGGCTCGAGACAAAGCAGCCAATCACAGAAGACCTTTGGTTATGCGTTACCTCCTGAATGGACGCTGCATCCATCACACCCGCTTTATTCCCGCCCTACCAGATTCCCCCCCCCCCAAACTTTCCTTTTTTTAAAAAAATTTTCTCAAGAGCGAATTTTGGGTTAGGATGCAATGCAACACAATGAAATCACAGTTAAAAGTGTAGTGGCTGCAATGTACACTGTGATAACTTCAATATTTTTGCAAGTTGTAGGAAGCGAGTTCATTTAGTGACCGTTGGAAGTTACAACCGCACTGAAAAAAGGGTGATCATTTTCACACTTAACGACCATTGCAGCATCCTGATGGTCATATATGATCAGCATTCATATCCTTGGCAACTGACTCATATTTATGATGGTTGCAGAGTCCCAGGGTCATGTGATCACCTTTGGACAACTTCTGAGTCAATGAGGAAGCCAGATTCACTTAATGACTGTGATTCATTTAATAACAGCAGTAATTTGTTTAACAGGTGTAGCAAAAAAATTGACAAAATCAGGTGCGACTCACTTAACAACTGACTCGCTTGGCAATAGAAAGTCTAGTTTCAATTATGGTTATAAATTCAGGATTATCTCTTTAGGAATACAAAGGAACTATACTGAATAGGGCTTACTGCCTATGAAGAATTTTGGCTTAAGTCTTCAGTGCCGTTGTAACTTTGGACAGTCACTAAACGAACTGTTGTAAGTCAGGGACTACCTTTAGAGCAGGGGTGTCAAACTCAAGGCCTGGGAGATTTGAGATTTTTTTGAGATTTTATTAATATTTGTAGGCCGCCCTTTTCCCTGAGGGGACTCAGGGCNGGTGTTCAAACTTGACAGCTTTAAGACTTGTGGACTTCAACTCCCAGAATTCCTCCTCTCGCTCTTTATCTTGATGATGTGCGGACGGGCGGGGGAAGGGAGCTGGAACCGGTTCTAGACGGCACTATAGATTTGTGAACCTCTTCTATAGAACTGGCAGGAACCCACCCCTGCACCAGACCCAACTGTTCCTCCTCTTCCTCATCAGCCACCTGCAGACCTGGGGGCTGCTGACTCTCCATCTGCGGGCTGACAGATGGCCCAGGCTCTGCCTCTGTCTGTCTCTCTCTCTGCCAGCTCCATTCCCTCTTCCTGCTCGGAGCTCTCAGGTTGCCTTGATGCTGACCCTGACTCCCACACCACCTCCTCCTCCTCCTCCTCCTCCTCTGATTTGGCTGCTGGACGGGCAGGCAGCCAGCAGGCCACAACAGAATGTTAGTCTCCTTCACTGGCCCTGTTTATATATGTTTATTATTATTTGCAGTTTGGTCTACTGGTTAAGGCACCAGGCTAGCAACTGGGAGACTCGGAGTTCCCATCTTGGGCATGAAAGCTGGCTGGGGGACTTTAGGCCAGCCACTTTCTCTCAGCCCAACCTTCCTCACAGGGTTGTTGTGGAGAAAATAACAGGAAGAAGTCATATTACAGCAATGCTATTGCTATATTAGATATTTTTTGCCACTTTTAAGTTGTTTGCAAAAATTACAAAAGCAGCCTATAAATTAAATAAATAAATAACTGGTTGTTTCGACCGAATTTTAATTCTATGCTAGCCACTCAGAATTGGCCCTATGAGATGCAGGACAGCACAGGCCACTCAGCAATTACTCAGCATCCATTCAGCAACTATTTAAACTTTAGTTATGATGGTGCTGAATGAGAGATAAGAGGTCCTCCTAGTTGTGGTCATTGCAGCATCCCCATGGTCACATCTTCATTGTTTGTGGACGCTCGGCAACTGGCTTGGCAAATGTCACAATTATGACATCCCGCAGTCACGTGATCACCGTCTGCAGCCTTCCCTGCCAGCTTCTGACAAACAATGGAGAAGTGTTGTGGCCTATCAGCAGTCAGTGGAGCTGGCAAACAGATTCGGACAGTGAGGAGGTTGGGGAGGAACCTGGGCCAGTCCTGGAGTCTGGGGAAGGCTCTGATGAGGGCTCTGTGTGGGAGGCACAGATGGGGCCAGGGCCGTCTGACAATTATCAGCTGCCTTCGCAGTCAGACATCAGTGAGGCAGAAGAACAGCTGGAGCCTGTTCCCAGTGTGCGCATGCGCAGAGTTGCCAGATGAAGGGAACAGCTAAAGAACAGGAATCGACTTGGGAGTAAGGCCACAGGTGGACGATGAATGTCCCCCTCCCAGAGGAAATAAAAGAGGAGCGAANGGGGGGGGGGGGGGGGGAGACCAGAAACTGTTTTTCCATCCTCTAAGTTCTGGATAGCTGTCTCATGTCCGTGTTTGAAATTAAGTCCAACGTTAAGCGACGGACTCGAACTAGAGCCTAGCCCTTGAATTTCTGGCAATATTTCAATCGAAAATATTGTGTTAGTGCTTATTATTAGAAACTGAGGCAACGTTCAAAACGAAATATGGCCCCCGCCAGTTCGTATTGTGGCACCGAAGGAAATCGTCATCCGGAGTGGAGCTTCACTGATCGGTTAAATCACAGATGTTTTTCATACCAGCAAATTAATTCTGAATGAGTTGCAATTTAACAAGAATATTTCCAACACACTTATTTCTGAGGGTAGGTGGGCGAAAGAAACACCAGCCTGCTTCTCAAAGTGTCACTGTGTCAACTGGGCAACTGGGCACATAACACTCCATGTCTCTTTTCGTGAGGGGCCACCACAACTGGCGTTTCATGGGGAGTTTTAACAAATTCAAAATGCCCAACAGGTCTTAAGCGTCGTGGTTGCATTACAGCACTGGAGTTTGCCGGCTCGCCATCACATACAATCTACTTCCCCATCCACGCCAAATCACCTCTTCGTTAAAGTTCTTCCTTATGCAATTGGAGCCAATCATCGGTCACCAGAGCCCCTCTCAACACTTGGGCTATATATCCCCAGCTACCTGTTTTGGGGGAGATTTGGGGCTGATGTGGTTACTTGTGACTGCACGATACTTCCAGATGTGGGACAAGGTGCCTCTTAGGAAGTCAGAAGGCTGCCCCATTAGCCCCAGTAAAGGTTTGATGTCCTGGTGTTTTGCCATATACATCTCAATTTTTAAAATGCTTTTTGCAAAATTGTGGTGTCTAGCGAGACAATAACCTTGTTCTGCCATTTCTGACTTTTGCAGAAGCAGAACTCAACGTTGTTTGGAAATGACCACAGTACTTACTGCAGAGACTCTCAACCAATCTCGTTCTGTTTTGTTTGCTGCTCAAATACGTAAACTGTTTAAAAGTAAATGGCAAGGAGAATAAATACATGTTTTCTGCAGAGCAGTGGAGAAGAAAACTATCTGTGTCCCCAAACTCAATTCAGTTCTTCCAGTTAAAGCGGCAGGTTCCGATTGCTCTTGGCCCCACATACCAAGCAAACAAAAATATCACTGATCACTTCGGCCCTTTGCTTCTATCAAACCAGCATTGTTGATCCTTATATTTTAAGTTCTTTGAGGTGATGAATACTCTTCTGATGACCCTCTTTCTCAGGTGCTCTGCACACTTTGTCAGAAAAATCATGTCCAAAACTTGAGGCCAGTTTGGGGTGAGATATTTTAAGGAGGACGTAGAAAATTGGAAAAGAATAACAGAGTTGGAAGGGACCTTGGGGGTCTTCTAGTCCAACCTGGCAGGAAACCTTACGCCATTCCAGATAAATAATTGTCCAATCTCTGCTTAAAAACCTCCAGTGTTGAAGCACCCACAATTTCTGGTGGCAGGACGTCCCACTGATTAATTGTTCTCACCGAGACGGAAATTTCTCCTCGGTTCTAGGTTGGTTCTCTCCTTGATCCGTTTGTTGATTCTTGTCCTGCCTTCAGGGGCTTTGGAGAATACGTTCACCCCCACGTCTTTGTGGCAGCCCCAGATCAAGTGGAAGGCAAAGGAAATCGGGATGAAGTATAGAAATAGGGCCTGTAAGGAACAGTTGGGGGAAAAAAGGTGCATCTTGAGCTTGGAGAAGAAGATAGTCTGGACAAGAACAGATTGGAAAGCATTCTTCAAATCCCTAAAAGCGGCAAATACTCGCTCTACAAATTAAGTCTATAAGGCAAGACTTAGTTTAAGGAGTTAAAGTTACAGTGGAGCGCCTGCGTGGCGTAAGTAGTTGGATGCATCAGCTTAGAACTAGGAGACTGGGAGTTCTAGTTCTGCTTTAGGCAAGAAACTAGCCGAGTCACTCTAAGACAGACATTTTCTTTTTTAAGAGCTGGGGGCCATAATATACACATAATGTTCAGACGAGTAAGGGCCATTCTTTCTGGAATAACGACGCAAAGTGGATGACACTGGATCATACTCTGGCAGAATCAAAATATTCTTATTTTGGGGGAAGCGGTGAAGCATATCCCCCCGCCCCCCGGTGAGATATTTGGTGAGATCCCTGCTTCAAGGTCGCCAGAAAAGGTGGGACCAAATTTTGATCCTGTGAAGGTCATATAGTTTAAATGCACTCTGCAGAGTAGAGACAAGTCCAGAGCTATTTTGTATGGAAAAATCACTTTTCTCTAATTTTTGCTGCAGTTCCGTGCTCTTGGAAGGAGGCAAAATTTTGGCCCTACCAGCAAGAGAATAATTTATAGAGAAGCAACAATGGCGGCACCTATTTGTTGGCTGGAGGTTGCATCAGGAGGCAGCTGTTCCTTAAATGTATTCCATCTGGCTTATAAAACAGTTGGAAAAAATCACTGAATGGGTAGAGAAGCACCTTATGCTTCAAAGGTATTTGTTGAATGGAAAAATGGCAGTGGTTTAGAGCTGATACTCCGAGTGTAGAAGGCCTCAGATTCAAAGATGGCGCCTGCAGTTAAAAGGATCTTACGTTGCAATAGAAGGAAACTTCTCCCCCCCCCCCGCACCCCCGGCTTCTCCCTGAATTATTACTATGGGATTTCAAATACAAAAGAAATAAACCTGCTGTCTTCTGATAGTTTTGCCTTCTAGGGAGCCACCAAGGATATTTATACAATAAAAATGGGAAGATATTATACGCACATACATATGTATGTATGCATATGTGTGTGTGTGTGTGTGTGTGTATGTGTGTGTGTGTGTATATGTGTGTGTGTATGTATGTATGTGTGCATATATATATATATATATAT